ATGGTCGATTTCGTCCAGAGCTTCAGATTCATCTCGATGGAGGAGGTCCGCCTGCCTGTCCGGAGGGAGGGCGCCCACCGCTACACCACGCATCCACAGGCCCAGCTCTGGGTCCAGACCCTGGAGGTGCAGCGGGCGTGCCATGAGAAGGAATCCGCACGCCAGCTGGTGCCCCGCAGAAGTTTCGTATCCCCCAGACGCCCGGGGAACCCGCAAAACAACGGGGCCACTGGATGGGAGGCCGAAGAGTCGTATGTACCTACTGCGCCGTCTGCAGGCGAGGTCGGGAGGCCATGCCCACCAAAGTCTGGTCCAGGACTGGGCTTTCGGAGGCTTGGTCGTGGCGGCGGGCATCTCCCCCTCTCCTTGCGCCTCCGCTGCTGCGGCCCCCGCCGTCGTCTCCCTTCTTCGGTGGCGTCCCTACGATGGGGCCATGCTCAATCGCCTCTGGCGCATCACCGCGCTGGTGTTGCTTCCAGGATCCATGAGCTCATTCTTCTCCTTGTTCCACCCTCCTCCTCCTCCTCCTCCTCCTCCTCCTCCTCCTCCTCCTGTTCGTGCCCTTCTCTTTCTGCTTCTCATTATCCTTCCTGTCCCTCTCCCCGTCCCCTTTCCTCCTTCCCCGTCGGCCCCCCCTGCTCTGTCACCTTCTGCCTCCCTGCGCAGGTGCCGATGGAGCTGCTGCTGGTGCCGCTGCTGCTGCTGCTGCTGCTGCTGCTGCTGCTGCTGCTGCTGCTGCTGCTGCTCCTGCTGCTGCTGCTGCTGCTGCTGCTGCTGCTGCTGCTGCTGCTCCGTCGGCTTCCCCCTCTGCCCGACTTTCTCCCGGGCCCGTTCCTGCCGAGGTCTTGGTGCCTGCGATCATCAAGCTGGGGGGTGGGTTCGACTACGTGTCCATCAGCCAGGTGCAGGCAGACATAGACATCCAGGCCGAAGGGATCGCCTGCGCCTGCAGTGTCGTCGAGGGCAGGGTGTCACCAGGTGCTATCTGCAGTCTCGCCCAGGCCCGTTGCTGCATGGGGCGGGTGCTGGTACAGGCAGTCTGGCTCGCAGGCTCCCCGCCGATGCCGACCGCTGCCTCACAGGCCACGTCCGCATAACAAGTCGGGTGTGTCTGATTCTCGTTCTCGGTCCCCTCCCTCCGCCTGATTCAAGCTTCGCGCGGCCTGCTTAGCTTCGACCGGAAGAGGTGCGCTCTCGACCTGCGGATCAAAAAGTCTGATTCTCGTTGGGGCCCCGAGCGAGGCCATTCTCGCCAACGGGGGGTGGCGTGATGGGTGTCTGCCTCCCCCTCCTCCTCCTCCTCCTCCTCCTCCTCCTCCCCTCCTCCTCCTCCTCCTCCCCTCTCCTCCTCCTCCTCCCCCTCCTCCCTTTCTCCTCCTCTTCTCCTCCTCCTCCTCCTCCTCCTCCTCCTCCTCCTCCTCCTCCTCCTCCTCCTCCTCCTCACACTGGTATTGCAGAGCAGCCACAGCTGGGGGAGGGCTGCGGCCCATACCCCCCCCCTGGGAGGACCCAGGGGCTCCGACGCCCCCCTCGAGAGCTCGCGGCTTCGGCGGGCTACCCCGGGCGGGGCGGGGCACGCGGCTCCCCCAGCTGCGGCCTGCCGCTGTGGGCCTCCTCGTGGAGCGCATCGGCGGCGCGACCAGAGGGGGGGAAGGCGGAGGGCGGAGGGGGGGGCTGGACCTCCTCGGAAGGCTCCGAAGGCCTCCCTCCGCCCAGGGAGCTGCTCGGAAGGCCCGGGCGGCCTCCGGCCCCCCTCTCTCTCTCCGGAGGCGGGGGGAGGGGGCCCCTCCGAAAGCGGGGGGGGGGCTTCCCAGAAGCCCCGCCGCTTCAGGCCTGCCGCCGTTCCCCCCGCTCGGCGCGCCGCCGGAGGCACGGGGGCCCTGCTCAGCGCAGGGCTTCGCTGCTTCGCTGGCAGGCGAGCGCCTGGCCGCCGTGCTCGGGCCCGGGGGAGCGCAGCTCTGGGCGGGAGGGCGTGCTTGCCGGCCATCCCCGGGGCATCCGACTGCCCAGGGTCTGCGTTGATCCCTCTTCCCCCTCCTTCCTCCCTCCTCGTTCCTTCCTTTTCCCTCCTCCTCCTCCTCCTCTTCCTCCTCTTCCTCCTCTTCCTCCTCCTCCTCCTCCTCCTCCTCCTCCTCCTCCGCGTCCTTCCCGAAAGCTGCGCTGTTTGCCGGTCCAGAGTGTGCAGAAGGTCCCTCGCCGCTGCTCTCTTCTCTATCCCCCCTCCTCCCTTCTCCCCCCTCGATCCTCTCTCGCTCTTCCCACCTCGCCCCTCGCTTAAGTGGGCACTACGTTGTCCCAAGCAGGACAAGCCCGTACCATATTAGGCCTCAGGAGGCCTCGGGTTCCTTGTGGTGCTCACGCGCTCGTTGCTTACGTCAGCGTTCTTCAATGTAGTCGTAGCCGATCTCTCTCTCCCTCCCTCTCATCTCCTCTCCTCTCCTCTCCTCTCCCCTCCCCTCCCCTCCTCTCCTCTCCTCTCCTCTTCCTTCCTCTCCCCTCAGATTACCATATCTGCTCTTCTCTTGTCGTCTCTCTCTCTCTCTCTCTCTTCTCTCCGTCTTCATCCCTCCTCCCTGTTCGCTCCGTGTTCTTTTCGAACGTAGGATTGCACCCTGAACTTCCGAATCACATCTAGACTCCTTTTGAACCAATCCCCGTGTTCCTTTCTCGTCGTCGTGGTGGTGGTCGTTGTTCTCCTCCTCCTTTCCTCCTCCTTCTCCACCTCCTCCTCCACCTCCTTTGCAATGCTCTTGGGGGCGTGTCGGTACGCCCCTGTCCCCCCCCCCTGTGCGGGGGCGCAGGTGTACTTCGAGAGGGTGCTGCAGAGGCCCGTGTGGACTGAGGACGTCCCCCGTCTGACGCTCGGATGAAGGCGGGGAGGAAGAGGAGGAGGAGGGGAGGCAACGTTCCCGCGAACATTCATGCCAATAGATGCCAGGCGCCATGTGCCAGGAGGAGGAGGAGGAGGCAGATGAAGACGAGGAGGATGAGGAGGAGAAGGAAAGGAAGATGAGGAGGAGGCGCAGAAGGCGGATGTCCAAGATCAACACGCTGTGATGATGATGACGGTGATGATGGTGATGACGATGATGCTAATGATGATGATGATGATGATGATGATGATGATGATGATGATGATGATGCTGATGCTGATGCTGATGCTGATGCTGATGATGGTGATGATGATGATGATGATGATGCTGACGACGATGATGATACTGATGCTGCTGCTGCTGATGATGCTGCTGATGATGATGATGAATATACTGATATTGATGATGCTGGTGACGAAAGATGATAAGGATGATGAAGATGGTGATGGTGATGGTGATGATGGTGGTGATGGTGACGATGATGGTGGTGGTGATGAAGATGAATATGAGTATACACATCACGATGAAGGTGAATCTTCAGATGAAGATATGTATGTATATATATATACATATATCTATACTGATGACGATACTGATGATGATGATGATGATGATCATCATCATCATCATGCTGCTGATGGTGATGCTGGTGGTGAGGATGTTGATGGTGCTGGTGTTGATGTTGATGCTGCTGAAAATGATGGTGGTGAATCGGATATGGCTGTTGATGGTGATGATGATGATAGCGGTAAGCATAAGACTACTAATAATACCAATGATGATGATGGTGATGATGATGATTATGATGATGCTGATGATGATGAAGGCGATGACGATTATTACGAAGGTGGTGGTGATGGTGATGGTGATGGTGATGGTGATGATGCTGATGATGATGCTGCTGATGATGATGATGATGATCATGATGATGATGATGATGATGATGATGATGATGATGATGATGATGATGATGATGACGATTATGATGCTGATGTTGGTGATGGTGGTGGTGATGATGATACTGATGCTGATGATGATGCCATTGATGCTATTGACGATGCGATTGTTGGGCTTGAGGGTTGTCAACATCAAGTTTATGGGATTGAGCCAGGTGTGGCTTGCTCCGGCGAGCCGGTCCCCTCGTGCCTTGCCCATGGGACCCGGCACGATCGTGCGTGCGCTGCCCCACCGCTCCTGTGTTGGCGAAGGTGGCCTCAGCACTCGCGCCGACATGGGGGAAGGGGGGTGCGGATCGGCCGGATGGCGATGGGGGGATCAGGACATGGGGGGATGAGTATCCGGTACCGTTTTGTTGGGGTACAATTTGCACCTTCTCTGCGGGTTGCAAGTACAAATTGTACCTCCTCCCCCCCGTTAACATCCTCGCACATGTCGCGGACGTTGTCAAAAGTACAATTTGTACCTTGTCTGCGTGGGGTCGGTACAAATTGTACCTTCTCCGTGGGGCGTAGGTACAATTTGTACCTCGGTTGCGCCTCTCTCCCCCCCTGGACTTATCCCCCCATTTGCATCCCGCCAAGCGGAGGAAGGAGGGGGCTGGGCCCTCAGGCCAGCGGTCGGGTCAAGCCCCGCCGCGAGCGCGCCGTCGCAGCCAGCGCCGGCCGCACCCCTGGGCGGCCGCGGCCGCGCGCGCCCAGCCGCAGAGCCCAGCACCGCCGCGGCCGCTCGGAGCTCCGCCGCCGGCAGAGGGGCCGCCGCACCGCTGCGCCGCTGCTGCCGCCGCGCCGCTCCCGTGCTGGGCGAGGCGGGCCCTCGTCAGCTGCGGGGCGGCCGCGGGCGCGCGTAGGCCGCGGCCGTGGGAGGCGGCTGCGGCGCACGCGTGCTCACGGCCGAGGCGCCGAGAGGAAGAGCGCTTCTGGCCCGGCAGGGGCTCGCCGCCTCTCGGACCCTTCCGTGGCCGGTCCGCTGGCGCTCCTCCTCTGGCGTCCCTGGCGGTAGGCGCTCGGGTGCAGAGTGGCTTGCCTCGCCGGTCCGGCGAAACGTGGCCCCCCGGCGCGGGCCGCTGCACCCGCCCTGCACACGCCGCCGCGCCTGCGCAGCCGCGGGGCGGGCCGCGGCGGCCTCCTCGCGGCTGCAGCCTCGAGGGCGGGCAGCTCCCCCGCCTCGCCAAAGGGCCACGATCGGCTCCCCCGAGGCGGGGTGCCCAGCAGCGGGTGCAGTCCAGACGCCTCGGCGGCAGCTGCTGCCGCCGTGGCCGGCGGGTTCCCTGGGGCACCCGCGCGCCTCGGCGGCCTCCGAGGCCACGGCCGACCGTGTCTTCGGCCTGCGGCTGCAGTCGAGACGCCGGCACAGGGAGCAGCTCGGGGTCGGAAGGGGATCGCTGCTCCTTCTTCCCCCCCTGTGGCCGTTTCTCCAGCGCGCCGCGTGCGCGCCCCATGGGTCTGTCGGGACAGACTATGGGCACCGTTCCTTTGTTTAGCGTGCCCTCTGGTAGCAGCTTGCTGTATTAGAGGCAGCGGGGCAGGGCTGCGCCACGGGGCGACTGCGCCAAACGGCGCTCTTGTCGCTCTTGTCTGCAGGAGGGAGGAGAAGGAGGAGGAGGAGGAGGAGGAGGAGGAGGAGGAGGAGGAGGAGGAGGAGGAGGAGGATCCTTCCTCCCTTCCTTTCTCCCCTCTCCTCGGCCTGCGCGCCTCGAGGGGAGGCGGCTCGAGGATGCCTCCGGGGTCGCGTTCGTGCTGGCGCGGGCACGGGGCAGTCCGGGAGTGCAGCGGCGCCTGGGCCAGCCAGGCGCCGCCCACGGGCGATCCGCCCACGCCCGACACGAGCTGCGGCGGTGACGACAGCGACGGCAGCGGTGCTCGCGCCGTTTCTCGAGGGCGGCGCTGGCCAGAAGCACCGGATGGGCCAGGCTTCCACTCACGTTGCTGTTGATGAGGTGAATGGCCACGATAAGGGGGTGCTGATGACGATGTGGAGAGTTTGGGGGGTTTCCGTGGGGCGGCTTCTCATCGCCGTGCTGGGCAGTACGCGCTTGCCTCGAGCCGACAGCTTGATGTCTTCTGGACGTCGGGCGCAATGATTAGGAGGAGGAGGAGGAGGAGGAGGCAAACCAGAGTCTAACGTAAGATGATGATGCTGCTGCTGCTGATGATGATGATGATGCTGATGCTGATGATGATGATGATGATGATGATGATGAGGAGGAGGAGGAGGAGGAGGAGGAGGATGAGGATGAGGATGAGGATGAGGATGAGGATGCTGATGCTGATGAGGATGAGGATGAGGATGAGGATGAGGATGAGGATGAGGTATGAGGATGAGGATGAGGATGAGGATGAGGATGAGGATGAGGATGAGGATGAGGATGAGGATGAGGATGAGGATGAGGATGAGATGATGATGGATGATGATGATGATGATGATGATGATGATGATGATGATGATGATGATGATGATGATGATGATGATGATGATGATGATGATGATGATGATGATGATGCTGCTGCTGCTGATGATGAGGATGAGGATGACGAGGAGGAGGAGGAGGAGGAGGAGGAGGAGGAAGAGGAGGAGGAGGACGAGGAGGACGAGGAGGAGGAGGCTGAGGAGCAGGAGGATGAGGAGCAGGAGGATCCCTGCGCGCGCTCTCGCGCGCCCGCCGAGGAGGATCTCGCCACCTTCTTCGAAGGGCGCGCGGATGACTTCGACTGCAACATGCTGCTGCGAGGGGTGCGACTGCGATCCAAGCAGGACTGGCGTATGCCGTTTTTCTTCTCCTTCTCCTCCAGTGGGGGGGAGGAGATGACAAGGGAGGATACGGGGTAGGAGGAGAAGAAACGAGACGCGGATGGGGATGGGGAAGATGAGGAGGAGGAGGGGACGGACGAGGAAGACGTTGAAGAGGAGGATCCTCTTCCCTCCTCCATCCTGCTCGTTCTCTCCTGCTTAGTCTCTGCTTCCTCCGTCCCCGAAGCTGGCCTTACTGGCGGAACTGTTGGGCCCCGGAGAGCACGCGCGGCGCACACGAGTGGCGGCGGGGCGGCGTGGATGCGCGCCGGACGCCATTGGGGGCCGCGGCGGGAAGCACAGGAACGAGCAGTGAGCGTGCGGAGACGTGGGAGGAGGCAGGGATCATGTGGTGAGAGGAGCGGGGGAGAGAGAGAGAGAGAGAGAGATGAATATTGGCATCTGTTCACGTGCCGTTGTGCGCATGCATCTGTACACGATAGAATAAGAGAGGGGGGCTACAGAGAGAGAGAGAGAGGGAGATACATATATATATATATATATATAGTTATATATATATACATACAGAGAGCGAGTCGGACACACGCACACATGATACAGATCGAGAGAGAGAGAGAAAGAACAAAAGAAGAAGAAGAAGAAGAAGAAGAGTCGGACGGGATGGGAAGGTGAGCTGACAAGGAGGTGAGCGGAGAGCATCAGTAGATGAAGTGTGGCGAATAGTGTACGGGGATCAAGGTTAAGGGCGACATGGAGGGGAGGACTCTTGGCTGCAACAAAAGTTTCCTCGGACACTCGCAACAAAAAGAACATGTGTGCACGCCCATCGGGCGCACGAGTTGTCGCGCGCGCGTGCTCCGCGCTCGTGCGCGCGAGATCCCAAGACGCCCCCATGGCCGCAAAATGGTTCCAATAGGGCCTGAGGCCACAGACGGCAACTTCCAGACGACCCTGGGATGACGCCGCCCCAACACGATCCCGCCATGGATTCTGGACCGTCCCAGGCCGACTCGAAGATGACCGAACACATGAGCCACGAGTGACGCCGAGATTGCTCGATGGCATCAAGATGGATCCACGCGACCCCAGGGGTGGCCCCATAATGAACACCACGACTGTGCGATCCAAGCATGACCGAGATATGATCTCAAGATGACCTCAAGACGACCCTGACATGCCAGGAATGCTGAAACTTCGGAACCCCATCTTACTTCGAAACGATCCCAGCATGGCGGGATCCGTGGACGACCCGGGATACTTGTTCACTCCATTTTCCCCAATCAGAGCTTGCCTCTGTAGGGGTCCTAGCGGATTCATATGGTTAGGTGAGGTGCGGCGCCGACTTGGTGGCCGCGGCGGCCGGGTGCCCGGGGGTGCCCGGGGGTGCCTGGGGGTGCCCGGGGGTGCCCGGGTGCCTGGGTGCCCGGGTGCCCGGGTGCCCGGGTGCCCGGGTGCCCGTGTGCCAGGGTGCCCAGGTACTTTAAACGGAGAAGGTTAAAGGCGAGGTATAAATCGAGCATGTACCGCTGCCGTGCCTGGCTCAAGCCGGGCCCGGCCTAATATGTGATTGTGCCTCACCGAGGCGCACGACTTGTATCTGAGATCGGAAAATACCTTTTCCATTGACGATGCCCATCCTATCCTTTACTCCAGATCCCATGCTTCGTCTTGCTCTCTTGCTCATGCGATATGAGCCAAAGCCTGGGATATGGCAACGCTTAAAGCGTAACACATACCTAAGCTTACCAGTGCGTTTTCGACTTGGTAGCGGAGCTGGCTACACTCTCGTGTGGCTGGCTCTCGCTCTGATTCCTGTAATCCACGGCACAACTTGGTGGACTACTACTACGGTGGAATACCATGTTGCGCCGGCTCTGCGAGGAGCGGAGCCAGTCCGCGATCGAGCTAGCGGGGCAACCCGCGAACTCGAGACGCTCTCTCCTACTTCACTGCGCCACTTCACTCTCGACTTCCACCAGATGCCAATCGGCAACTCGATCGAGAACGTGGTCACCCTGCGGGGCTACCCGCAGCGGGGCCACCTGCATCCCGTGCCAGTCAGGCGCCTCACGGCTACTACGCCAGAGCCTGACAAACCACAGCCTAAACCAATCACCGAAGCCGAAATGCACATGCACTGGATTAAGATAACTATCTTCGGCATTCTGTGGGTAATAATGGGATGTGCTGTGGGATACATGCGGCAGGGGATGGACGACACGCGTACTACTGGCCCCTCATGGGACCCTGCCGGTACTACGCCTTTTCGCGAATATGTTCGCGAAGTACATGCATGGTTAAACGTAACGAGCGGCAATATGACACCACCACAACAAGCTGCAGCACTACAACGAGGCCTTCAAGGTCTTGCTCGTCGTATCGCCATGCAGGTCCCCTCCCAGATCATCAATTATGGTGTAACTGTCAATGGACAGCCAACGGATGCAGTAACATATATACTGTACTTACTGAGCACCAAATTTGAAAATCTGGAAGATGAGCGCCAGCTCAACTCTGGCACTGCCCTTATCGACTTTCGCGTCGAAAGGGGCGAGCGAATCGACTCAGTGTTAGCTCGATTCGAGATGGCCCGTGACGAGGCTAACTCTGTTGGATTTGTCATCCCCAACTTTCAGATCCTAACGCTGATTCTCTTCAGAGCGTTAGGCGTTGGCGCGTCACGAGCCCAACACCTGCTGGAGCCCTTTAATCATCAGATGCCCCGAACACAAGCAGACTATGACAGGCTGCTGACCAGGATGAGGAACTACGGACATGTTGCCGAGCGCTCTCCTGGCAACATTGCGGGTATCTTCGCAGGGCACCACTCACATGCAGGTGTCTACGCCACGACTGCGGGGTCACCCGCTGGTCCTGGCGAGCCAAATCCCTGGGCTGACCCAGCCGATATGCCCAACGAGGCCACTGCCTTCTTAGGGCAGACCGGCCAGGCATCGGCAGAGGCAGCTGAGGCGAACGCCTGGTCGAACTACTCGCCAGGCGCCGCCTACACTGCAAGCCCGCCCTCAGGCACAACCCTCTGGGGCCAAGCGGAGTCATCCGCTCAATGGTCTCAGCCACCCTCACCGTTTGAATCTGGCACAGACACAGATACCTCATCTGACGATGAGCACAATGGCATAGTCTCTGCTGGTAATGACTATCCAGCGGATGACACTCACCTCTCTGAACAACAAAGAGCGGAAGCCGCTTTTATGGCTTATCGCAAATCAAAACGCCGTTGGAGGCGCTTTATGAAGAAACCAGTCAGAAAGGTGAGACGTGCAGTACGCCGACATTTCAAACGATTTGGAAAGGGTCGTGGCAAAGGGGGTCGCAGACGCCGTATGCATGGTAGGGGTATTACTGCTTTCCTCACGTCCTTAACTGATATGGCTTTTGAAGAAGTTCTTATCGGAGGCAAAGGTCGGGGTCACAGGCGGACCTCCGGTAAGGGAAAAGGGCGGAGGGGCAACCCTAGGGACGCTTCTGGCAATACTATGAAGTGTCATACATGCGGTAGCACAGAGCATTTGCGCGATCAATGCCCGAAGGGGAAAGGAAAGGGATCCGTACATTTGGCTCAAAATTCTTTTATGGATGACATAGACTACATTGACTACGAGTTTTACGTCAATCCAGAAGCGGCTCCCGCTGCGGGCTCCTCCACGTACTACGTGATGGCCCGCTACGCTGAAGTAACCGTAGCCCTGGAAGACTACGCAGTGACCCTCTTCGACGAGCTCCACGGCTGGGACGAAGTCGACGAGGTCGCGTTCAATGCTTGGTTCGGTCTTCCAGCGGGGCCACCCGCCGGCGACGAGGTCTCCGAAGCTGAGACCGTCCCGGCGACCGAGGAAGAGCTCACCGCCGCGCTGGCACCGCAGGTGATTGGCATGCCGTTGCTGCCAGATCTTTCGCGAGCTGGCTCGGAGGCGGGAGACGCTGATGACGAAATGCGGGGCCATCCCGCGTATTCTGACTCCGAAGAGGCCGAAGAGGACTATAAGGACATGCTCCAAGAGCAGGTCGCAGAAGCAATCCGGCTCCTGAGTGCGCCAGCACATCAGCAGATAACCATGAACGACCTGCTGTCGCGCCCAGGGGCCGCACGGCTGCGTCCATACCTGGATTCGGACATGTCGGCACCTCAGATGCTGACAGCACTCCAGGCTCTAGCGGGGTCACCCGCCGAAGTGACGCCAGCCGCAGCAGCGGGGCCACCCGCTTGGTCTATGGATGTATTTATGCAGGGCTGCGACCAGATGGACCTCAACGACCTCACGATGGAGCAGTTAAACGACATCGGGTACTTCCGAAGCCCGTATCAACACGTATTCATGGTCCAGGACAGCTCAGAGGACTCGGAGGACATGCGCTACGCCAAGAGGGACAGACGACCATCGCCTCCCCGAGACTCAGAGCATGACGATCAAAGGCCAATGGAACGTGGTAGTGCGTCAGCGGGGCCAGCCCGCAGGAGGAGCCGTTCAGCTCCCAGACGCCCTACACATGATGCATCGGGCTACCCGTACAGTACTGAGCACTCCGTTGGTGTATCCGCTCAGCACGTGCCGGAGTGGTACATCAATTGGTACCCCGGCTACTCGATGGACGTGATCCGCCACTGGTATTCTAAGGAATACTGCACCAAAAGGGACGAAACTGGCATGATAATACGTACCAAGGGTGGCAAGACCAAAACGCCAGAGGCTTGGGACAAAAGGGCTAAGAAACAGGAGATCATCAACGATCGCAAGACATACAGGAAACAAGTATGTCAGTGCGAGCCCTTCAAAGGTCACATGCGCAGTTGTCCGATGGACCGCCCCTCCAGGAGTCCTCATCACGGTGAGACCCCGTGGAATTGGTCTCATGGAGATGACGCTGGCAACGTCCATGATCCTAACAAGGAGGTCCCTGGAGGAGGAAAGCGCATCACCGAAGCCGATCGCGTCCCTATGACCGAAGAGGTGGCCAACATCGTCAGGGAAAATTGGGTACAGCT